GCTTCCTGACAGATTCTGTCCCAACTGGAAATGATGAGGGGGTTTTTTGCTTGTTTTTTCCTTTTCTTAAGGGCAGTTTATCTCTCTCTCTCTTAGGAGCCCAGAATCCCCCCATCCTTCCAGCCATTCTTTCCATCTAACTCAGCTCACTCTTGCTGTGATTGCTTTTCTGAATGGCGACACGCAGCTGAACTTTGGAAGGCTGCGGCTCTTGTTATTTCTTTTTCGTCTAAGGAGGGATTGGAAAACTTTTTCTGTAAAGGGCTAGAGAGTAAATAATTCAGGCTTTGCAGGCCACACGGTCTGTCACAACTAAGTTCTGCTACTATAGCCCCAAGGTAGCCATAGGCAGTATGTAAATGAAGGTACGTGGCCGTGTTCCAGTAAACTTTACACAAGCAGGTGGCGGGCTGGATTTGGGCCACAGGCTGCAGTACGCTGACCCGTGCTCTAAGCACGCCAACCCCCTCTGCATTTCTTGGTGGACAAACCAAGCTCCCTCTCTCTTCCTTCATCTGCACTTTACAGTGGATTATTTGGGTTCCTGCACTCGTCTGGAAAGCCTCTGTGTTTTTCAAAACCAATGCTTTGAGAACACAGAGGAATCTTGTGTCTTTCGGGCCATGTCTTATTTGACTTTGAACTCCTGGAATATGCAAAAGCCTGGAAAGAAACTCAAACAACACCCCGTCTTATCCTGGAGAAGCTTACAGGCTGGTGGGGAGAGTGGACAGATGAGCTCTGTGTTCTCAGCAGAGATAAGCTCACTGACAGGAAGAAGGCAGGGAGGGAGGAACCAGGAGACTGTGCCTCCTATAAACTTGGCAGTGACCTTTGAAAAAACTTACAGGAAGGAGATAAGAAAAAAATCTTAATTTTTACTGAATTAATCCTGAGACGATAAAGCACTGAAAAACCAAACAAATAAAACTGATGCCCTGGAAAAGTTTGGCAGTTAAAAGTTAAACATAAATGTACCATAGAATACTGGAGTGGGTAGCCATTTCCTTCTCCAGGGGATCTTCCCGACCCAAGGACCAAACCTGTGTCTCCTGAATTACAGGCAGTTTCTTTACCATCTGAGGTACTAGGGAAGACCTAAATATACCATATGACCCAGCAATTTCACTCCTAGGAAGCTACCTTGGAGAAATGAAAATGATCTGTCTGCACAAAGACATGGACATGAATGTCCACAGGGGCTTTATTCTTAAGTTCAAACTAGAAATGACTCAAATGTTCAAGAGCTGGGGGATGTCAAGCAGAACATGGTATGTGTCCATATTAAGAGAAGAACCTTCCGTAATCCACAGGATGAAGCACTGGCACACGGGAATGACGTGGATGGACCTTGAAAATATGGTAAGTGGAAACAGCCAGACTCAAAAGACCACAGGTAATATGAGTTCCACTGATATAAAATTCCCAGTAAAGACCATTTGAGAGTGAGCAAGCAGATGAGTGGTTGCCTGGGGCTGGGCGTGGAAGAGGAGGTTAACTGTAAACGGGCACAAGGGAGCCTTAGAGGATGATGAAAGTGTTCTGGAGACAGAATTATGGTGATGGTTGCATAACTCCATCAATTCACTAAAATCACTGAATTGTATACTTTCAGGGGGTAAATTTCAAGGCCTGCAAATTATGCCTCAATAAAGTTGTTCTAAAAACAAAACAACCCCGTTGCCAAACCATTATCTAGCCATGGCTGAGAGATGATGCAGGCGGCGGAAGGGAGGGTGGGAGCCCCTCGCGAGATGCAGGTGCTTGCTGCCGCAATAAAATATCCAATGTGACTTTCCCACCCCGTTTGCTTCTAAAATCTAACAGCCATCAGCTTTCACTGGGCATCACAATCCTAAGATTATCCCCATTTTAGAGATGAGAAAATAGGGTCAGAAGGGGAAAGGAGCTCACTCAAGGACCCAGAGCGACTAAATGGCAGAACTGCGCCAGGACCCTGGGACTGTCTGACTCCGAAAGCTGTGTTCTTGGACACTGCTCCCTTCCCTCCCCCTTCCATTCATCCCCTTCCTCACTGACTCTTTGCCTACCCCCCTCCACTCCCCTACCCCGGGTAGGGGGAAGCATAGCACTGCTTGGAAAAGCAGAGCAAGGATGCTAAAGCTTCCTTATCTCGAAAATCTTTTCATTCAAGCCTTCTGCACCCATGCTCCCAGGAGCCACCCTCACCAAAGGTGTTGACTTCCATGAGCAGCTGTGCTCTGTGTTCTGGCAGCCCTGGACTGGTACTAGCATCAGTTTCCATCTGGAGCCTGTAGCTCTAGAAGCCTGTCTGGGAGGTGTCCTGGGGTTTAGCAAAGAGGAGCCAATCATCAGGGGCAGAGATGATCTCAGGTTCAGCCATAGGCTGGCCCAGACGAATTTCTTGCTTGAGCTTCTCATCAGAGCTACAAGTTTCCAGGGAGTGTTCCATGCAGGGGTCTCACAGTGCCACCGTCTGCCCTGCACACAGCAGGCCCTGGCCTGGGGAAGCTGACCACAGCCTCCGGATCTCTATTCCATGTCCGAAGAGCTCATGGTTCCTCTCTCCCTCAAGGTGGCATTAACCCTTCTCTCCAGGCTGAGGCACAAAGGGGTCCTGCAGGCGTTTGAGGAAACTTTTTCCGAAGGCTGCCTGGCGAGCCCACGGAGGCCTGAGGGTGCTCGTGTCACTGGAGGGAGCGGACCCCACACGTGCAGAGGCCTTTTCTGTGATGAGCCTGGCTGCCCAGCAAGACAGAGCATCTCCTCTCTGCTGGCCCCCTCCCCACCAGGCACACTGCCTCCTGCTGCTACTCAAAGCAGCCAGGCCTCCACCACACTACTGGCTTTCACAAATACTGCTCTCTCTTCTTAGAACACTCTTTCCCAGGTACCAGTCCTGCTCCTTCCTTCACCTTCAAATCTTTGCCCACCCGTCACCTTCTCAGTGAGGCCTCCCCTAACCGCTCCACCTAACACTGCACCCCCCGAGCCCAGCACCCTCCTCCCAGGCCTGCTGAGTTCCTCTCCCCAGCACTGATGACCATCTGACATCCTCTTTTACTTACTGGTCCATCTCCCCCACTGGAACATAAGTGCTTTGAGGGAAGAGAATTTTGCTTGTCCAGTTCCCTGTCTGTAGATTCTGAAACAGCACCTGGCATGTATTACTACATAGTCACCAGAATCTCATGAATGAACTTCCCCACCAGGGCCCAGCCTATGAACTTCAGCTCTGTGGCTACCACCCCAGGCCAAATTTAGCCGGGCACTTGGCTGGGGCTTCTCTGACATGAGCCAGTCTGGGAGAAACTGGAAAGGAACCCATCAACCCACCACATGCAAGAGGCCCCCTCCATGCCTCCCGCCCCCCACCCCCTACCACGTCTGCAGAAAACCACCCTGGGGTACCTGTCAAAGCTTGTCCGGTCTATCGGGCCTCTTGCATCATCTTCTCCGGAGGCCCTCTGCAGTCTTGGGTGGGCTGGAGGGCACACAAAGGTGTCTGAGAAGTAAAGGCAGGGAATCAAAACCCAGCCCCTGCTCAAGCTGCTGGCTGGAGACCTCCAAGGTTGCCAGGGTCCTGAGGCACTTGAACTTGCCAGGGATTAAGGTACCAGAAACAGACAGCCTTCGGGTTTCAGAATCTTGCAGGCTCAAGAAAAACCAGCCTGGACGGAAACTTCTCAGTGACCATGGGAATTATTCCAAAGTGGGGCTAAAAGTGTGACTCTGGAAAAGGATGAGATGGGACCCAAAGCCCCTAAATCCCTTAGTTTATAATTAACAGACACGCGTTCTCTTTGCCTGCTCCGAGCCAAGCCCGGTGGCTCACTGGGGGAAGGGCACCGTAGTCAGACAAAATCACCCCCCAGTGGGTTTTTGAAGTGTTGAGCCTCTTTGTTTTCCTGAATTTTAATAAAGGGCTTTCCAGGCAGGATGAGAGAAGCACTCAGCGCTCCCCACAGCCAGGAGTGGGCCTTGGCTAGCGGCCGCCAGCCTGCACGGGCCTGATCCAAAGTGGCACCTAGGAGAAGCAGGCGGGAGATGTCTTATCCTCAGACAGGATGTCTTGGGCAGAAAGAGAAAAACAAAAACAAAAGATGTCTCTGTTTCGATCAAGGGCTGGGCTCTGCTCCAGATCTTAGCACACTTTGGAAATAGGCGGTGATGATGCTTGGAGTTGGGGAGAGCAGTGGAGATAAACAGCTCTGTGTTGGAAAGGTTGCGGGTAGTCAGGGGAGAGGCCTGGGATTCCCTGAGAGTTTTTGCAGACATCTCAGGGCTGCCGAGCTGCCCTCTGCTAATGAGAACCAGAAACAAGGCCCTGGGAACCTGGGGTGGGGGATGGGAAGAAGGGAAACACGTGCTTTGGGAGCTCCAGGCCTGGGTTACAGGAAGCAGGAGGGAAGGGGCATGCCGTCAGAAGAGCCAGCAAACCCTGACACGGGCAATGGGGCCACCTTATCACGCTTTCTGATGTGCTGTCTCCTAAGTGGCCCTGAAAGCAGGAAGGAGACAGTGCCATGTCACCAACATCACTGACCATCCAAAGGGAGAAAGGCATCCAGTCAGGCCCTCCCCAGGACCCCAGCAGGCAGCCGCCTGATCCCCCTGCCTCCCTGCGTCCAAGTGTTCACAGGGAGATGCTCCTTGGAGCTGCTTTGGCCTCTGTGAACAGAACAGTTTCCAGGAGCGCAAAGCCTTCTCCCCGCATCTAGCTTTCCCTCCTGCTCTTCAGTGATGGGGCGAGTTCCCATCAGTGGCTCGAAAGATGTCTTCCTTCACTCCTGACGGATTTTTCCAACAGGGCGCTGCAAACGATTTGAAGAGAGGGCTACAAAGCAAAACAATTTCTTGCCACAGAACGATGCAATTTCTTACAACAGAAAATATTTTTATTACAAAATAGTCCATACATAAAAATCCTGAGCCGCTTGCGAGCATCTTTAGGTTTATGGCCTTTTCCTCGAGTCCAGAGTGGATGTGTGCGCATGCAGGGAGCACAACTCCCCGGCTCAGGTGTGTGCGGGCGGCCCCACGGGGCCCTCCTTGTCCGTCTGCAGCGCGTCCCACTCACTGAGGAGCTCGGAGGACACCTCCGTGTACAGATGGTCCCAGTCCCAGCTGACGTCATCCTGCCGAGAGAGGCATCCTGGGGTGAGACAGGAGAGGCCCTCCCCTCGGGCACGGCCAGCCTCCCGCCAAGGTCAGCCTCAGGGCCCGCTGCCACGGCCGAGGGGCGGGACCTGCCGCTGCCACGTACCTCTCGAACCTCATGCTCAGGCGCCAGGACTTTGGTGAGGAGCTTCAGGTCAATCTCTCCATCCTGTGAACATGTTCGGGGGGGAAGGGGGTTTGTGTACCATGGGGCCTTTGGACAATGACCTCTGGGGACCAAGCTGAGTGGGGTAGAACTTTCCAAACCCAGGCCTACAGGAACAGCTTGTGAAACAGCAAAATTGCGGGTGGACCACACGGCCTCTGAGAGCTGGGGGGACACCCACACCACGATGTCCTATGGGCTCGGCCCTCCTTGGGGGGAGAGTGAACACCAGGTGGGGGCAGGCATGACGTAGCACATCTACTGATGCTGAGGGGGCAGGCGGGGGCACAGGGGAGACTGGCCCTGAGAACACTGGGATAGGCTGGGTCCAGGGATGCTCTCACACGCGAGGAGGATGTCTCCAGCAAAGGGACAGTCACCTGGCAGCCTCAGAGCCTCACAGAGGAGGGGCTGCAAGACCTGGGAGGAACTGAGAAATCCCCGCATGTGTCGATGGGAGCCTGCCCCTCTGCATGGCAGCTGTCCACTCACCAAGGTCTGAAAGGCCGAGTACTTCATGAGGTCACTGTCCAGGTCGCGGTAGGTCATCACTCGGTTCACCTGGATGCTGTGGGAAAGACAGAATGTGGGCAGGAACCGATGCCAGCAGTGCTGCCAGGCTGCCATCCCCAGAGCCTCCTGGGCAGCTGGGAGGGACGAAAATGCGGGAGAAAACGTGCAACAAAATGGGAACCCTGGGATGGGGCCCATCACTAGAGACGTGCGGATCTCCCCAAGGGGGCAGCATCACTGCTAATGGCGCCTGGCATGCTCTCCAGCCTCCCGCCAACTTCAGGAGAATATAACATACCTGGGAGGGGCTGCCACCTGCAAGACGAAGTCTTCCTCCTGTACCTCTTCCAGGTCCGGAATGACAGGGGTATCTGCAATGAGAGGGTGGGCAAGGCTGTCAGCAGCACGAGCGGGGATCTAGTCTGCTTCCCACTGATGACTTACCACCTTCAATACCCTGGCCACCGTGAGGGCTACAGGCTTTGGGTAGAATGGACACTCAAGACAGTCTCTGGCCTTCAGGCCCCCCACTGTCCAGGGTGGTGGAACTGAACTTGAGGTGTGCGTGAGAATTGAAGGCAGAATGTCAACAATTTCCAAATCTCAGGCTTTACCCCAGAACCTGTGGGAATTAAAGTCTTCTGGGTGGGGCCTGGGAGGCTGAATTTTTCTGTAAGATTTCTTGGGTGGTCCTGACGTTTCGTCCACAATATGAGCTATGGGAGTAGCTCTCCATGGAGAAATGTAAAGAAATGAGAAGAAAGTCCTAGACAGCCCTGGGGGGAGGTGCTTAGAGGAGAGGAAGGAAAAGAGGAGCTGAGTGAGCCTGGAGTGGGCAGAGACAGAGGAGGGGAGCAGTGAGTGAGCCTGGTGCGGGCAGAGACAGAGGAGGGGAACAGTGAGTGAGCCTGGCGCGGGCAGAGACGGAGGAGGGGAGCACTGAGTGAGCCTGGCGCGGGCAGAGACGGAGGAGGGGAGCACTGAGTGAGCCTGGCGCGGGCAGAGACGGAGGACGGGGGAGCACTGAGCGAGCCTGGCGCGGGCAGAGATGGAGGAGGGGGAGCACTGAGCGAGCCTGGCGCGGGCAGTCAGAGGAGGGGGGAACATGCGTGTCATCAGGCAGATGTCTCCTCGAGCGCACCTCCTCACGACCGAGGCCCACACGTGCATCAGCTCGTTCTAGTCTTTGCAGCCCTGAGCCTGTATCTGCAAGGTCATTTCACACCTAATGATGTGACCTGGATTCCCGGCAGTGTCCAGGAGCAGAGTCTCCACTGAAAGTGAAAGTGAAGGTCACTGAGCCGTGTCCGACTCTTTGTGACCCCATGGACTATACAGTCCATGAATTCTCCAGGCCAGAATACTGGAGTGGGTAGCCTTTCCCTTCTCCAGGGGATCTTCCCAACCCAGGAATCGAACCGGGGTCTCCTGCATTGCAGGCGGATTCTTTACCAACTAAGCTATGAGGGAAGCCCGAGTCGGCATTGCCCAGGTCTAATATCCTAAACAATGCTGACTCTAAAGATAACACTTCCCCTGCTGTCTCCTGGAGATTCTTCTCTGAATTCTCCCTATGAGACGGACATACAGACACAGGAGGAGACACGAGGCCATTTCTTTCGTCAATCTAACAAACTCATGCAAAGGGAGAAACAGAGAGGCGGCGCATCCCTTTACTGTGGCAGCGAGCTTACAGCAGAAAAACCATCCATCTTCTTGAGCACCTTAGAGAAGGACTGCCTTCTCTCAGTGAGTATCACTGACTGGCAGAGGGGGTTTCTCTGTTTTAACCAGTCTGCACAGAGATAAAGAGAGATGGGGCAGAGAGAAAAGAAGGGGGAAGCAGGGAGAGACAGCCCTGGAAGTCCCAAACCAACTACGAATATTAAAAGGAGGAAAAATTCCAGAGAGGAGACAGCAGTGAAGACACCCTTCATTTTTGCTTCTATGAACTAAATTAACTTTTTTTTTTTTTTTAAAAGAGACAGAATCATTCCAAGAGTAGCTGGAAAGGACCCTTCCCACTTTCAGGCTATTCATTATTTAGACTTTGCAATGGTTCTAGTCAAGCTTAGCCGGAGTATATATAAATGTCAGTTCGCAGCCTGGTGTCTTTATTACTGCTTCTGATGGCAGAGTTACAGATGTTGTACCTGGAAAGACAGAGAGAGAGAGAGAGCATGTGAGGGAGAGAGGGAGACATGGAAAATAAGACAGAGAGAAAGAGACAGGCAGAGAAAGACAGTGAGTAAAAGGATGAAAATAAAAAGAAATGGCTGATAAAAGGGAAATAAAGACGACGCACACACCAGCCCCGCAGTAATGAATCACACTTAGCAAGTCCTCTACCCAGAAAGAAGCTGTTCAGAGCTTAGATGGTATCTCTCTATCCTGCTAGAGAATTAGATACAGAATTCTCTAATTTTCTATTTCTTATGCTAATAGAAATTCAGCTTGCTCCGAGCGGATCCAGTCCACTGCTGGCTGACAGCACCGTCCCCGAGTCTGGGGCGAGGGCCTCCCAGGCTGGTGAGACAGCGCGGGCCCTGCGGCCGGGCTGGGAGGAAGCTGGCCGTGCCATGTGCCATCAGCACCGTGACAGGTCCGGTGTGAGACAGCAGGCTACTCTTGGCTCTGCTCGGCGTGGGGCCCAGCCTGAGATGAATATTCAGGAGCTGGTAAGAAAATGCCCCCCTTTGCTGAGCTTCAGGCTCAGGCCCGGGTCTTCCCCAGGCCTCCCTTGCACTGCAATGTCAGCCTCTGGGTCCTGTCAACCCTGCCCAGCTTCTCCCAGCACTGAGGAGCTGCACTTCGGCCCGCGGTCCGCTCTGGGTCCCCAAGGGGCTTCCCCCCTTTGTCCCCGCCTCCCTCCTCCAAATGCGCAGGAAGGCTAGTGGGGCTGGCCCCATCTGTGCCAGAGCGGAGGTCAGCGCGGGCCTTGGCAAAGGGGCTGCTCGGAGGGACGCGGGTGGAGCTGGCCACACAGTGGGGTCTCTCTCTAATTGGAAGCCTGGTGCCCGACAGAGCCCAGCGAAGCGCCGGAGTGGGATGGAGCCAGCGATGACAGCCAGGCCGAGGCAAGCTGGAGCATTCCGGTGCAGTGACAGCTTGAGCTCGTCGCTGCAGAGCCCGGCCATCCAAACCCGGCCCCGGAGGAACAGGGGGCCATGAAGCAGGTCTTGGGCAAATTTCAAAGAACTTCCTCATTCTACAGTTTCTGATTTACAGTCACAGACTAGGGCTTGCTTATGAGTATGTGACATGTTCCCAACAGCTTCTGTCCTCTTTGCCTCTTTCTTTCCCCCCAGTTCCACTCGCCTCTCTCTCACACACACATACATGATGAACCAACCTAGAAAAAAGAAAACGGGCTTGAGAAATCAATACGCTTCTTTACAAAATGACCTGCAAGGAACGATGCAGCAGCACTTGCAGTCAGCGACGGCTACGTCACCGGTAGGCCTGGACTGGAGACCTGGTCTGATTCAGGGTGTCAAGTTTAACATCCCAAGGTATACGATTTTAACAGCGATGATAAGAGGAATAAAGGAATTTGCTCTAGCACCACTGAAAGCTCAGTCATTCTTCTGACTTTAGCCTCATTTTCTTCCATGATGCTAACAATAAGAATGTTAACAGAAACAGTGGGTTTGTTAAGCATGTGGGTAGGACGCCTGTCCAGTGGTAAAGAGTGCAGGCACTGGAGGCATTCACAGCCTGGCTGGCTCCGCCACAGACGAGCTGTGTGACTTTACCCTCTCGATGCCTCAGTTTCTTACAGCTGTAAAATGGGGATCATAACTACACCCATTTCATATGTTGCTTAAGGAATGCATGGGACACTTTTTATAAAACACTAAGCGCTATGCTGGGCACCTAGTAAATATCCTGTACTATTCTTATTTGTCTGACAGATAAAACATTGAGCATGGAGAGAAGCTACACGGCTTTATCCTCATTTTCGCATTTAATCCTGCCCATTTGCCTCATTTTCCAGACGACACTGAGGCTCAGCAAGATGGAGCAGTTTGCGTGGACAGAGGCATTAGGAACGGACAGAGCAGGCTTCCCACTCCAGTTCAACTGCAACCACCCCCGGCTCCCAGCTTGTGCCGCTCTCAGGCTTTCTTTGCAACGGTGCAGGGACTTCAAGCCGCTCTGGCTAGTGGAGGGGTGAGACAACCGCCTGGAGTAGGGACAACCTGTTTTGCCTGGAGATTAAGGGTCCTCTGTTTTCGGGTATTCCTCTGCCTCCCAGGAACCATAACTAAGCTAAGCCTCTCCCTCACCATACGCTCCACTGGCTACGTGCCTACAAGGCCGCTGGAGCAGAGAGGAAAGCGGACCAACAGGGGAGAGCCCAGAGCCCCCCTCCCCAGCTGGCCGTGTGGCATTGAACCAGGAGGAGGGGGAGGCTGAGATACCGCAGACACCCCCAGGAGAGGGTCTGGTGAGGCAAGGGGGCTCACATGCCAGCGCCCCGGGGGCAGAGCCCTCATCCTTGATCCCGGTCCCCAAAGAGGGCGCCCCCCACTCCCAACCTACCACTCTCTTCCATTTGGGCTCCTTAATACAACGGGCCTTCCCTGCTGGGTATTTGCTCTGGGCCTGCCATGTCAGCAGTCTCACTTGCTCTTCACCTGCTTCTGGGCCCCACGTGGTGCCCAGTTAGTCACACGGTGGGGAAACTGCATTTGTGCAACTCCATGGACTGTACGGTCCATGGAATTCTCCAGGCCAGGATACTGGAGTGGGTAGCTGTTCCCTTCTCCAGGGGATCTTCCTGACCCAGGGATCGAACCCAGGTCTCCCACATTGCAGGCAGATTCTCTACCATCTGAGCCACCAGGTAAAAGTGACATCATATATGGTAACAAATTCAAATGCTACAGACAAGTTTAAGACGGAAAACATCCTTCCCTTATATGAACCCCAGTCGTCTCCCTAGAGGTGATCGCTATTAATCATTTCTCATATATGGTTACTGAAAAGAATTTCTGCATATACAGCATGGAAAGACTGATGCTGAAGCTGGAACTCCAATACTTTGGCCACCTCATGCGAAGAGTTGACTCATTGGAAAAGACCCTGATGCTGGGAGGGATTGGGGGCAGGAGGAGAAGGGGACGACAGAGGATGAGATGCTGGATGGCATCACTGACTCGATGGACATGAGTCTGAGTAAACTCTGGGAGTTGGTGATGGACAGGGAGGCCTGGCGTGCTGCAATTCATGGGGTCACAAAGAGTCGGACACGACTGAGCGACTTAGCGACTGAACTGAACTGATGTCCTTTTAAAAATGTTTGCAAACAGCACACTACATATCCATTGTTCTGTGACTGATTTTTATATTTCCTTTTCAGTATACA